CAGTCTTCCTCTGTACGTGTCATCAGAGGGGGAAAGCCCCGCCCACTAGTGCCCATCTCATTGGCATAATCAGCAGGCCTGAGTGAGAAGCAGCCGTCTGTCCATTCGCCATTAGAGTTTTACATCTGTTCAACCAAAACTATAAATTCTGTTCAGCTCCTGATCCTAGGTCAGGTAAAGGAGTGTGCCTACAGCTGCTTAAGCTGACGATTCATACATGTGCCGAGTGTCACACACCACTGAAATCAACATGTCAGAGTAGGGCTGGACGATGTGGCAAACATTCCATCTTGATAATTATTTTCCATATTGAATGATAACAATAGACATTTCAATATCAGTTATTAATACTTCTAGATTAAGCGTACCCCAACAATGACTGATGACACATCAATTACAGGCTCCATGAAAAGGCACAGCATGTTTCAGGCTGATTAACTGACGGCGGCCAGAAACATCTCTGAAATCAACACACTTTAAGATTCCCATCGTGTGATTGGCTCCTGGATCAATAGACTCTTTTAACAGAGCTGTGAATCTACACTGCTCTCACGGCTCGGTTTGTTTATGATTATCATGCAATCGATTCGGTTCAGCTGGATATCTCGGTGCATCACGGTGCATTGATGATGATTTCCATGCACAGTTTTCTTCACAGCAGCTATTCCCAGTATTAAAATGTATAAATATATTAAAATACTATTTGTAATACAATTTTGTCATTTAATACTGCCAGATACATGTACTGTAGCTTCAAACAGCACGAGCATTTATAGAAAATAACCAATATAAATATCCCGCTCGCTTTCTGAGCCTTGTCAAGTTCTTTTCTACACCACTTTGATTGGTCACATACTCAACAGAAAGGGCTGAGATACAGCACCTAGAGTACCCTAGCAACACCTTAGCAACCACACAGAATACCCTAGCAACCACTCAGAATACCCTAGCAACACCTTAGCAACCACACAGAACACCCTAGCAACCACTCAGAATACCCTAGCAACACCTTAGCAACCACACAGAACACCCTAGCAACCACTCAGAATACCCTAGCAACATCTTAGCAACCACACAGAATACCCTAGCAACCACTCAGAACACTCGAGCAACACATTAGCAACCACACAGAATACCCTAGCAACCACTCAGAACACCCGAGCAACACCTTAGCAACCACACATAATATTTTAGTAATATTTTGGCAAAATTGAACCAAATGAACGAAATGACTCAAAAAAAGATTCGTTCATCTCGATGAACGAGACTCAAAGATCAGAGTCAGTAAAATGATCCGAACTTCCCATCACTAATCCAGAACACACGGAGCAGCAGAGGCTGAACCAATGCAGAACTCCTGTGGATTCAGAAGGGAAGAAGAGATCTGCTCATCTCCTGTGTGTACAGAAGAGCGGCAGAGATGGAGGATACAGTCCTGCTGAATCACAGATGAAGGACACAGTCCTGCTGAATCACAGATGAAGGATACAGTCCTGCTGAATCACAGATGAAGGACACAGTCCTGCTGAATCACAGATGGAGGACACAGTCCTGCTGAATCACAGATGAAGGACACAGTCCTGCTGAATCAGGCTGAATGAATCTGTAATGAACAGAGGGAAACAGAGCGGGAAAACCTGCTCAGATTATGCTAATGTGCTAATGAATATTAATCAGGTTCAGGAGAGGTTCATCTGCAGCGCTCAGAGAACACTCGGCTGATGATCATTATTTACACTCAGAGCTTCAGTACACTGATGGAGACGAGACCGAGACACACCACTGATGAAGAGGAGGAGGAGGAGGATCACTGTGCTGGAGTCATGATGAGATACACTGATGATGAGGAGGAGCTGCTGACAGACACACTCACTGAGGAGCAACAGCGCACACACACACACGCGCACAGACACACACACAGACACACACAGACACACACACAGACACACACACACACACACACACACACACACACACACACACACACACG